CTCCGAAGAGAAGAAAATATGAGTTACTGAATGTTTTCAGCATTTGGCCGGAAAGCCTCAATCATCTTCATGAAACTCGCACTCTGAGTAGGGGAAACTTTTTCTATTCTCACGAATCTCACCTGTAGTGTTTTTGTATGCACTCGCTTTGACTGAATGTCACGACACATAAGTCATCACATCACGAGTCAGTTAGAGTTAATTAGCGAATCACGTTGTGTATTATTTTATTTATCAGTTTCAATGAATAAATTGTGTTTTGTTTAATGATACGAAAGTGTATCATTTGAAAGCCCAGAACCCAACATAATTGGCGACGAGGATGCTGGGATTCGAAATCTGCGCGCCTGGTGAAGCCCAAAAACAAGTGTCCAAGTAGTCCTGTCTAAATTTGCGGTGTGCCTTTATTGAAAAGTCGATTCAGTCTGCTAGTTTCAAAATCATGTAAAGTAAATTCTGAGAAGCTGAAAAATGGCGTTAATTAGTTGTATTAACTATAATTGGTTCACTCTTTTTAATTTTTAATTACCTGGGCGTTTTGAAAGAGCCCGGCCATGAACACAATGGGAATACATTGGGTAGTTTTATTGCAGTCATTAATTAACTCGATACAAATTATTGTGAAAAATACTTTATAGCTATAGCCTGAACCTATATACGAGACCATGCGTTTTTTTTTTTTAGTTTGTTTAATTTTCACTTGAATTTCAAAAAATGGCATTGGTGATACATTTTGGTTCCCAAAATATAAAACCACCACGGCGCTGCATTTGAAATTTCAATTTTAATCCATTTTAAACGTCTTTCCTGTATGTATCACTTGTGTTGGCATACTTATTGCTGCAGTTAATACCTCACACAGTTCTTGTTGTATTGGTTTCTGTAAAATTTCATTGAAGATGTCATCATCAACTTGTGATTCTCTGTTAAGTAGTTCCTAAAAGTGCTCCTTCCAACGAGAATTAATGGAAGAACTGTCTTTAAGCAGTCTTGTGCCATCTTTTGATCGTAAGGAATCGAGTCCATGAGTGGTTGGTCCGTATAACATCTTAGTAGCCTGAAAGAAGGTCCTGGTGATGTTGGATGCAGCTAGTTGATGCATTTCGTTTGATTTTGTTATTCACCATTGGTTTTTTAATGCTCGCGTTTGCCTTTGAACTTCTGCTTTTGCTTGTTGGTATTGCCTTTTTTTTACAGTCGAGTTGGGGTCAGTTTTCCATGCATTATGTGATCTTCTTTTTCTTTCTACAAGGTCTTGAATTTCAGTGTCGTTCTCATCAAACCAGTCTTGATGTTTCTTTTGTAGCCGACCGTTTCTTTCGAGACAGATGTTTGCGGTCTTCAGTATTTTCCAGTGCTCCTCAATGCTTTCCGGGTACTCTAACGGAAGTTTCTGGCTTAGAGAGGCTTGGAAGTTTTCCTGATGTGATCGCCTTGAATGCGTTCTATGTTAAACTTGCATTTAAACTGCTTTTTTGACATCTACGCTTTGGTGGGATGCACAAGTTCATTCCGGTTCGTATCAGCCGATGGTCAGTCCAGCAGTAATCCGCGCTTGTTAAAGCTCTCATAATGCATACCTACGTCATTTCGGTTCCAGAACCTACAGTTATATAAGCGATTAGATTCCATTGCTTTAACCTAGGGTGTGGCCAGGAATGCCTCGAATTTATTGTTTTGTCGAAAAAGTGTATTCATTATTACAAGGTCATATTATGAGCATGTGGTTGGTAGCCGAAGTCCATTCGAGTAAATTTTTCCGCAGCCTTCTCCTTCTCTCGAAAGCTCAGCAAGATGGCCCATACATTTTTTTTTTTGGATGGCGAAACCCAGCGAAGTTCATTCTCTTTTTTCCCTTTCTAGAAAAGCGTATAGCCTCCTCCGTGCTCCTTAAGTTGACCTTCGCTTGACTTCTGGTTTCGCTTAGAGCTGCAATATCGATGTTAAGTCTCCTTGATTCTTTTACTACAATCGCCGTTCTTGGTTGGGGTCTTGAATATGTGCTGGTATCCATAAGTGTATGAATATTCCATGTGGCAAGATTAGTTGGTTTTGTTTCGACCGCATGGGGTGCACCCTTTGGGCGCGGTTATCCAGTCGGGCCATTATTGGCTGGCTTTGTTTAGGGCACCTAGCCCTTTCCCTTTCAAGGTGAGCAGAGCGGATCCTAGATAGGGCGGCTCAGTCACGAATGCAGCACACGAGTTGCTCTACAGCCAATCCTTGAGCAAAACGGTGATCACGCTATCCGCCGCCTCTGTGCCGGTTTATCACTAAGAGCTTCCAGGCTACACTATCCAGGACTTTGGTGTGCGTTGTACTTGTTGATATTATGTGTCCTGGAATAGAAAGAAGATCCCTCCGCTTTTGAATCTTTATTTTGCCAGCTAGTGTCACCGGAAATGTTGCGGACCCGTAGTAACTACTAAAGGTGGTGTGAGGTGGTGCTTTGACACTTGTCACTTAGTCTGTTCGGAACGGTTCGGAAGCTTTTACGTTGGCATTCGCGAGTCGCGACAATCAAGTATGTATTTAATATTTAAAATAATTACATCTCAATCTATTTCTTTATTTTATCATTTTTCGTGTCCTGAACCGTTTGTGTTTGATTCATTTCGATCCGACTCGGCCAGAATCAGCCAGTGTGTTGATCTTCGGCGAGGTAAAATAGTGGGCACAAAATGGCTAATTTTGTGCAATTTGCTTATGTACCCAAATTGTTAAGCACAGGCTGATCTATTATAAATGTCCCCCCCCCCCCCCCCCCCCACAGCTTGAATGATATACTTTTTCTTTCTTCAACATGAAATCATATGGAAGGGGCTTTCACGTTTTTGCCTTCAATTATTGAAGGTAAACATATCAAACCGTATAATATGTATCTTAAAAATTAGGTTGAAGGAGACTATTAAGTGCGCACAATACATCATGTTTCATTAAAAAAAAAGGAACATAACTCAACTTTGCTCAGCTACACTTTTTTGACGCACCGTGTATGATTAAAACTGATTTAGTTGAAAAATTTCTATAATTCTCTAAAACTTTTGTACTTGACACTTCAGTCAGAAAGGGGTTGAAATTTATAATTGATCACCTGACACCTTATACTATCAAGGGACAAATTGGACTCCCTAAAATTTGAAATTTGTCACGTGACTCGGCGGCCATCTTGTTAAAAATTGAATTGATACATATTTTAGGCAATTTTCAATTTTGATTTTTTTTTTCGGTTGAGTGCAAAATAAAATGAAATGCGGCATTTCTCGACCCCGTCTGATTATATCCGCAATAAAGTGAAAAGTTTTGAACTGGTTGGTATACCCCAACAAAAACTGCAAACTTTTCACGCCGAGGCTTCACATTTAAATCCTTTTAGTTTAGCATTTCTTCACTGGCGTCCGCTTTAATACAAATATTTCGTTCTCTCTAAATTTTGTTATAAAATACGATATAGCATCTAAATGCTTACTATTTTCTTGAATTTTTTTTTGTTCTTTCTCACTATTTTTACTTTGAATCAAATGTATTCTATATTTTTCATACTTACACGTTACCTTAATTTTTCTCTTTTACAGGATCTTCCAACGAGGACTGAACAAGGTCTTAATTTTGACTCTCCCTGCATTTATGCAGAAAACCAAAACAGCAGTTCGACATATCTTTTTTTATTTTTATATTTTTCCACTTTTGAAGTGCCTGTACAACACTCTTTTAAGCTCGTAGATTTTTTTTTGCCAAATATACCTATGTATTAAAATTTCAGTGAAAGAGCCCATTCGAGAACTGTGCGCAGAAAGCAATACGAAATAGTCTCATTTCACGTTCTTCCTGTTCAACAAATACTACCTAGAGGGAAAGAATCCCGATTAAGATCTGTTTCCCCAGTCATAATTAGGCATTAGGCGGCAAGATCACGACCCTGGCGTATTTAGGAAAATTTTGTGGACAGACGAGGTTCCGTTTACAGGCATGTTCAACCATCGCTTCATGACAAACACCGCTGGGCAACTGAAAATCCAAGACAATTTATTCCAATTAAAAGACTGTCAATGTTTGGTGCCGGATGATAAATAGCAGAATTTAGCCAATATTTTATAATGGAACATTGAAATGGTCAAATATAGATAGGTACCTCAACTTACTTCAATACCAAATTGGGAATCAATTAGAAGAACTAGGTACCGTTGGAAATTAACAGAACTCAATCGCGAATATAAAATCATAACAGCAAGTTTAGAAAGACTTCAGAGAGGCAACAGATGTTTTTTCCAGAAGAACATTTAAATTATCATTGAGTAGGTAAACGATTTTGTGTAGAATTATTCACAATAACCTGGTCTCGAATCCTTCTTTGTCACGCAAAGATTTTGTTTCTTCAAATAATTTTTTTTTCCTTAAAACATTTAATTTCGACAAAAGTTGACAATAACATATTGTAGTAGTTTAATCACCTATCACGACAGTGACAGATATCAGGTCACCTAAAGGCAATTCTTCACCCTATAATACCGTGAAAAATTAAAAACATTGCGATAATATTAACAATATTATCAACTTTTTTTTTAATATGCGATAAAAAATCGGATATACCATTTAAAAAAAAGAAAGATGAACATCGTAGGGTTTTTGGTTGAGGTTGAATTGTTTTCCAAGTAACATATTTAAATTCTACGTATAAATTTACATCGAGCTGCTATTTTCCTTTTCTCCAAAAATAAAGGAGAAGTCAAAATTAAGGCCTTATTCAGTCCTCGTTGGCGGACCCTGTACCTATTTTGGTTTTCATCATCGCTTCTAGTCAACCAACTTTGTTCTCGGTTCGTGTACATATATTTATTTTGAACCTTTTCGACTTTTTCAAATTTATTTCAAACAATAATTGTTTTAGTAAACAGAGAGAGAAAGAGAGGAGTACTACCTACATAGGTCTTTATTTATTCAAATAGTAGGTACGCCACTCGTCGAAATCCAATAATAAAGATAACACCTTATCTATGTAACGTTTTTCGAATTTGAAGTAGGAAATATTGTGTTTCAACAAAAGTGAAAAGTAATTTATTGTAGGTGACTGTGTTGCATTGCTTAGTATACCTAATCATTCGAAACATTAGGTAAGTTTTGAAATATGTTGATTCAAATATTAAATTGCATAGATAGGCTAATACAAAATGCATTAATTTTTGAGGTTAAATCAATTATTTTTCTTAAAAAAAAAAAAAAATTGAGAATAGCCGACAAAGTAATGCAAAAAAAAAACGATAGACGGCCGGCAGTTTCCAAAATTATTCCAGAAGTTACATCTTTGAAAATATTCAACCATATGGTATGTTAATATATTGAACTTGATATAGGGAATTTGATATAAATTGAGTAGGTAGGTACCTAATATGTATTATTAGATAAAGTAGTATAAATGGTTTTTTGCTAGTAACTATTTAAAGCTGGAAATGTTTGGAATTGAAAAAATCCAATTAGATATATTAGCCCTGTTCGGGTTTGAAAAAAGGGACGGTTCTAGAACGGTTCAAAACAATCGTACAGTTTACCAATCAATAAATATGACAACGGCTCGGCTATCACGAATTTCAATATTAAACTGTGTGATTGTTTTGAACCGTTCTGGAACCGTCCTTTTTTCAAACCCGAACAAAGCCATTATCGCGCTAAAAAAAAAACTGATCAAGCAAGTTAAATCCAAGGCTTAAAATTTTCCAATATACGACATTGGAGCCATGTACCTATGTATTTTAAACTGTTGCTGTGAAATGAAATTTGAATTTTTTTTTCAGGGGTCTAATTCCTTTCAGGAACTGTCTCATTTTTAATAGGCCTAACCTTTGAATGTTTGAAAAATAGGAAACAATGTCGAATTAAGAAATAATTAGCGACCTAAATTACGTAGCCCGAGCATTAGAAGTTTTCCAGTTTGCAGGTGGTAGTAGAGATATCTAGTATCTAATTCATCTTGTAAGCTGATGCACGGGCTACGTGAACCACCCTGTATGTAAAATTATTATTTTTGTTTTCCAATTAAAATATGCGTGGAAAATAATGATTAGGAAAAACCTTATTTGATTGCAGAAAAGGCCGAAAAAAGAAGTAAGAAGTGTAGTAAACGGATGATACGTGAGGGTGTCAACTGTATGCATTCGTTACATTCCTTTGTCCGTTTATCTAATCTTGGGCAAATGATAATACAGGGTTGTTAAAAAATCCTGCCCAATATTTTTTGACCAATTTTTTTCGAGTAAAACATATAGTCACGTCAATTAACTTTGAACTCTTTTTCTGTGATCTCGTCAACTAAGTACATCTCGTCAACCCCGGCGATCGGTATCCGCTCCATGTTTTTTTTACTATGGGGTCAATTATTAGCATTCCTGCGATGCCAAAAAATTTGTAATTGACCCCTATCTATATATATAAAAATTAATGCCACTTTTCGTTGTAATTTTATATCTCAAGAACGGGCTCACTTAGCCAAACCAAATGTTTAGGCTTTGTTCGGACTATTTATTAGATGGTTTGTGTGAACTTTGCACAAAATCGGTCGAGCGGTTCTTCATTTATCACATTTTTTGTAACGGGGATTTTGCTGTCAAATTGAAACTTTTTTCAGCGTTGACAGTACCAGCATGTTGTTATGTCATTAATGTGGTCATTTCATTACTTATTCTAATTATTTATGAAAAAAAATTACTAAGCCCTCATACGGCGCCATCTCTTATAACCGATACCAAGTTTATTTTATATTTTGTATTTTGTATACCGCGCCATCTCTGATACCTGGAACGAAGCTCGGCATTGCAGATACAGTAGAACCATGCTGCTCAGGAACTGGAGCTATTTCGAACAGAACTATTCCACTATTCCGATTAGACAGAGTGGTGCAGAAAGAGTAGATCAGATAGAGTAGTGCAGATAGAATAGAACAGATGGAGTTGTGCAGTGCATGCAGTGCAGATAGAGTGAAACAGGGCTGCGCTAGAGATTTTTTTTGTTTTCTTTACATTCTTTGAACATTCCTGTGACTGAGTTTATTTATTTGGTGGTACACTTTACAAGAATAATGCCCACAAGCTGCCTAAAAAAGGATGATGTAAAATTTTTATTTTAGGTGACTTCTGATCCAGAGAGTCAACATTAATTTTCTTCAACCAAAGCCAAATTCACCATCGAAAAAAACTGAATTTAATTCAGCTAATAGATACGTTAACACAACATTTAATAGGTATATTTAATAATTCAGAGGCGGTACGAAGTTCGCCGGGTCAGCTAGTCTTCTATATTTCAATAACCAAGTCTGTTAAGAAGACCATCTACTTTGAGTATCGATCGCACAGTATCGCTAAAACATGTTCCTGCTTGTACTGCTATGGTCCTGTCTCATCCTGCTTCAAATATGACCCCGCCGACACGTAGTATTTTCGATATACAGCGATTTTTATTTTGGTTGCTAACTCGACCCTTGGCAACATACTGGAAGCAGTATCGCTCAAACATGTTCCTGCATGTGTTGCCATGGTCCTGCCTCATCTGCTTTAAATCATACCCCAGCAACATGTACTATTTTCGAGATATAGCGATCTTTATTTTATTTGCTAACTTCAGCCTTGGCGACGCATTGAAGCAGGATCGCTGAAACACGTTTCTGCATATGTTGCGCACGTTATTACTTCGGTTTCTACGATTACTTGCAGAGGCATGGTGGCCCAGTTGGAATAAGTTCGGTTTTTGGAGTGAATGGAGCCAGGTTTACATATTTTTGAGGTTTTTTTTTTGGATTTTTTATTTTTTTTGAAGATTATTAAGAGGACGGTTAGTTTCAATTCAATCCTTGGATTAGCACTTTTTATCTAAAATACCAGCCTATAAAGATTTGCATTCACTACGAGAGCGGGTTAGTCTGGATTAGCCCTTTTCGTCTAAAATACCAACATACAAAGACTAGTGCCTACTTATTATGGGGCCGGACAGGAAAAACAAGAAGAACAGAATTGGTTTGTAGCACTGTTATAACATCATGAAGAACTTTTGGAAAAAAAAATTCGAAAGGTTGTCACCGGAAACAATCAAGAAGGCACCAAATGTTCACGCAGCGGAAAAAGACATTTTAAGCATGACTGTAGAGTACGGTTGAGGTCCCACTCTCTTTCTGGTGACTCTCAGTGTCCAATGGGAAACTTGAAACAGGGCATCGAGTGTTATGCATAAAATCAACTAAGAAAAAGCTATTGTCACTGACAAAGAAGGCAAATTTCCTTTTCTCTAGATCACTCCGATTTTGAAGTGAGACAGACGATAACGCGTGTGCTTCTTCTCAGCTGGTTTTAACCATACCGCTGCGGTGCAGAGGAGGACATTCTGAATGTTACTATAGTGTACACTTGAGATCTCGCTCTTCTTCTAATGACTCTCAGCCATCGATGGAGAAGGAGTAATTAAGTATACGATTTCCAAATCAAACATCATTCTTGTAAAATGCACAGTTCAATGCAAGCACTCAACTCCAGGATTAATCAGGAATAATTTCTTGTTAGAAGCCTTTGGATTTGGAACGGATCAAGAACGAAGTTTTGAACAGTTTAGAAGCGATGAATTGGAAGATTGACATCAAACCATTATTGGACCCAAAAAAAGCCGACCAAGAGTCAACAAACTGCAGAGAAGAAAAATCCGGCGAGCAAAGAAAAAAAAAACCGGGAACAAGAAGATTGGTGGGAACGGCTGCTGCTCTGGAAGGTCAATATTATCTTTCAACCAGACTCTACATATTCCTGCGATGAAATACTAGGAGTGCTATGACCGTCCACGCAGGCGCAAACAAGGCGATTAGTAGCATAGCAGTCAATAAGGATCAGGTGGTCATGCTTCTAGCACAGCATATACAAAAACAATCAGCAGGTTAACTCACACGCGCATCTTTTCCGCGTTCATAGCCATTGTAGGATACAACTTATCATTAAACTCGAGTTAGCCTGCTGATTGTTTTTCTATATGCTGTGCTTCTACTGCTTCTAGATCCTGTGAAAGAGAAACACGTGGACCTGAGCTTAGGGTAGACTTGGATGAACAGGAAGGCATCCTAGAGGCAATTTATTTCACAGATAGAGATCTCAAACAACTTTCTACAAATTGGGATGATGAAGATGATTACGAGATAACGAAGAACAAGAGGATACTATTCCAGAATCCCTTGTTCTAAGGACTCTGAAAGGCATAGAACTGCTGGTAGTAGGGAGATGGAGAATGCTATAGATGAAATGATTAGGGATGTGAGTGGAGGTACAGACGTAGAAACGATTCGGGTGCATCTTGGCAGGGTAGAAGGCTTATCACGAGAATTAGATGGTCAGATCGCGACGATCTTATTTGAGAGGGAAGCAGTGTTACGAAATTACGAATTATATTGGTGCGGAGAAGCCAAACATTTAGGAGTTTGTTTCTATTGTGGGATTTAGATGAACAAGAACCTTCGTCAATTCTAGAGATTTCTCGATGGAAAAGTTTTGTATTATATCAAGTAGTTTGTAAGTTGTATTCAGTTAGTTGGACCCGCGTATTCGCTGACAGTAGGTATAGTCCGTTGCATGGTTCTTGACCTACGGCTACTGAATAGACAGAGGGGACAATGGGCTTTTGCTGCGTTGTCAGTTGTCACATCGATAATATTTATTAATACATGAAAATTGCAATAAAATTTCCTTCATTTTCATATAATAATAAATATTATTATTGATATGACAACGCAGCAATAGCCCATTGTTCTTTCTGTCTATTCAGTAGTCGTAGGTCAAGAACCATGCAACGGACTATACGTGTTTAATATACTGTAGCAACTATTCTGATACTATACATTCCGAAATAATTTAAAAGCCTATAAGGAATGACATATTATAGAAATTATAAATAGATGTCGTGCTTCGTGAATGGTGAAATTATAATTAAACCTGTTAATGTGATGGTTTGTTGAACGATTAAAAAAGAAAAAAAAAATCGGGCTGTACCACACATAAGTATTGTTATGCCATCAATAATGATTTATTACCATAATATCTATAAAATTTTGTTTTTCTACATATCACAGTGACAATTTGTATTTTGGCGAATAAATGTGATTGATCTGAAATCATATTTCAAGGAAAACCGGCAGAACAGAAAGTAAAATCATAAAAAAGAAAAAACAAATTATTGATTTTTTTAGTTATTGTAAATTCAAGTTTTTGGAGTAGGTAGTGTTATAATAAATAAGGAACTAAACAGAATTGGCTGGACAAATAATTGTTATTATAACTATAGATCAACATTAATTTGCGGTTAGAGAAAAACCACAAATAATTCGCTTAATAAAAGTTTCTATATTGTTAGTACGTCGCAGTGCATTAGTACGTCAATAAAAATAAAAACAATGTAAAAATATATAGATAAAATACCTATGTGGGAATTTTACATTTTGCATTGTTTTGCGGTTAGAAAAACAAAAAATGTATTTAATCAAAGTTTCTTGCCCGTTGGTATATAAAGTGTAGGTACCCCAGTAATAACCTTAATAATCTAATAATAAGAAGCATTAGAAATATAGGGGTACGTAAGTACATGTGTGAAAAGGATTATTTTCTATTTGAATTTTTTGTATTTATTAAGTTATTTAATGATTATTCCATTACAGGAATAAACAATTTTAAAGCATATCCTGTCATTAGATTAAGCATTTTGTCAAAAATATAATGAAACGCTGACACTTTAGGGGTAATTAGCCCTCAGACTACTTACATATTTATTCGTTTTTCTGTAAAATCAATGGTTTTGTATGACTTTTAATATCTACTCGGCAATTTCTATATAAAATATCACGTTTGAATTTTACAACAACAATGCAATGATATATATTTAATAAATAATTAGGATTTAATTAGGCAATGATTCATGTAGACTTTCGTATTTTCATGATATCGATATCATCATTATCGAATCTGGAGTAATCATGTTTCAACAATTTATCGTGGCATTCGTAAATTTGTTTTCAAAATAAACATCAACATTTCAAAGAGATCCACTCAAACTACGGTATTTTGGCAAATTACGAAAAATATATCGGATTACCTTTATTCATCTGCTGGAACGTAACGCTTAAAAAAGTTTACATTGTATTTACCAGATTATTTCCAATGATCCCGCCAATAAAGATCGAAATACCCTAAATTATAAATGTCAAAAAAATTATAATCCAATCGAATGCCTTATAAGATAAAATAATTGGTTGGTAACAAGCTAATAATATTCACAAATCACGATTAAATAATATTAATAGTTATTTATGTCATTAGGCCAAGAAGTGTGTGCTTCGCTCAATTCTAGCCCTGCGCTACGCTCAAACGTTGACCTCATCACAAAAAAACCTTCGGGGCCAAATGACATACAACATTTTATTTTCAAGGAAATGCACTATAATCCCACTATAATTTACGATGTACCTACATATGTTAAATTAGTTTACTTCAAATGTCAAATCAATATTAGGTCACTCGGAACACATTTTACTGCTTCGAACATGGACGTTCGTATAAAGCGAGCAGATGCATCAACTTAGAAATCTGTCTCTACTTATGCTCGTACTTTATTTCTGCAATAATTCAGTCTATAATATTGAACAAAAAATGTAAAACGAAAGAATTAGTGCAGATTATAAATAAATTATGCTCTGGGGGCTAATGTCCAAACTCGGTCGGTGACGCTGTCATCTATCGAGCAAAAAATTTGGTATGGATCACTTCTGTATGTCAAGTGTTGACGACAATAAAGTTCAAATTATAGAACGCTTGAACATGAATAATTTTTATGGACCTGAATAATAATTTTAAAAAAAGACTAACTGCGACGCACTTCTATAAGAAATGATGGTTAATAATATCTATTTAGAGAACAATCTGGTGCACGCAACCCTATTTCAATTTTTCAGATAAAACTCAAACAGTAATCCGCCAACTTGTTCTTTTTAGGTGTAAAATTTGTAAAGGTTCGGGATATAAGGAGCTAAGCAAAAATGATGCATTTAACAGCAGAAGTTAAAAAAAAATTAATCTATTTCAGAATTGTTTCACCATGCCAAAAGTACTCCTGGAATTAAACAAATCTGTGGTTTATAAGCAAATAGAAAAAGAACTAGGAAAAACGCGAGACGAGATAGAAAGCGATGTTAACATTATTCAAGAATGGTTGGATACACAACCTCATCTACCCGAAAAACCAAGTAAGTGTAATTCGCAGGTGCCATTTAACACAAATTTAGCACAGGGAATACAAACAAAAAAGTTTGTACAACTTACTTATCGTATTCAGAACATTCCATCAGAAATTTCCATGGTTTCGGCTAACACAGAAAAAATGTTTTCCTCGTGAAAAAAAAAGTCGTTTTGCGTATCCATGGCCATCAACAAACTTAACCTTTCTTGACGGTTGTACAAAAACTTAATTTTCATTACAGTTCAATAGATAGAATGTTTAAGGCCTGGTTGTAGTTTTCCAGAACAAATCGTGGCTCAGTTGAACTTAGTCCATACTGACCATACTTGTACTTTCCTGTTGAAATTGCATTGGACAAATATTATTTAGAGTTTCAGCATCGTTTTGTAAATATTTCACTTGTAGGTGCGGAATTGATACAATCATTTTTATTATTCAACAAGTTTAGTATTGAGAGAGCTAAACAAAAATTGGATATGTATTACACCATAAGAGGGCATCTTCCAGAAATGTTTTCCAAGCATCCTTGTTCTCTTGATATGGAAAAGCAAGCTAGGATCTCGTAAGTAACTTTTTAATGCACTTTATTTTGGGAAAGCAATTATTAAACTAAATATAATTCTAGATATGTGATACCTCTACCAAAATTTTCACAAGATTGCAGAAGAGTAATATATTCTAAATTCTCGGAGGAGCTCAATGCAGAAAATATACATTTTGATAGATTTGTTTGTCATATCTTCAATGTTTTTGAAATAATGCTGCGAGAAGATTTATTTTTAGGTGCCCATTTCATATTCGACTGCAATAATTTCAAATTAGCCTTCATGACCAGGATGAATCCTATGGTTATCAAAAAGGCTTCGGTTGTTATGGAGGTAGGTACCTATATAGTTCTATCGCTCTAAAATTGAAGCAGCAACTTATTTCTCTAGGATTTCGAAATTTAATATAAATAAATAAACGCTTTTTACAGAAAGTATTTTCTAATAGAGTAACGTCCATCAACATCGTAAACTATCGCTCATCTTTTGAAACGATGTTAAATCTAATGATGAACCTCCTGCCTGAGAAAGTTCGATCTAGGGTGAGAATTTAGCTTATTAGTCGTAAAATTCTCATTGTAAAATTCAATTCAATACTGTAGGCATACCAATTTGGTTTACTTTTAGATACAAGTCCACAAAGACAGTGAAGCTTTGTTCAAAGTATTTCCCAAAGAAATTTTGCCCAAAGATGTTGGTGGAGACGAAGATTCGCTTGGCGAGTTAACGGGTAAGATTTGGGCCAAATCTCATTTCATTAACGACTCAGATACCAATTTCATTTTAGAGCTTTGGATTCAAAAACTTAAAGAAAATAAGGACCTCTTTGATCAACTGGGAACTATGCGTGTAGATGAATCCAAACGACCCACAAAATTGGTGAACGATGATGTCCTTGGATTTTATGGAAACTTTAAGAAACTTGATGTAGACTAGCCAATTATCTGTGATTTTAATTGATTGATTGATTTGATTTAAAAAGAAGATGGAACTGAACTTTAGTTATGTTTAGTATCTCGCATTTTCGCGAAAAGTGTCCACTTTTGCATTGAATTTATAATTTTTGATTTAAATAAAAGGAAAATTCACAATTTATTTATGCTCCTTGTAATATTCTACTTCTAAGTATCAAAACAATTATATGACAGAAGGGTTTTAGTGCACTTTTTTTTTTCTCCAAATTACCGACGTTATAAGCAATAGGACGTAATTGTAAAAGTCTAATTTCTACCTAGTTAGTAAAAATATTAATTGTAAGTACTTTTTTATTTTATTCAAAAAGTAAAAATTCATTTAAGTACTGGCATCTATTGTCGAAGTTATTGAAAGAAAGATAAAACAATATTGTGGAACAGCACAGAATTCTGCGTTCAGCAGTATAGACTAGTAGTGCCTTCTATGAAGTGAGATTTCAACCTTTGACCTCCATTGATTTCTAAGCTGTATCAATCAACGGTTGTATCGTTGGCTGTATATAGTATGGGGACTCTTTTGATAGTGATAATTTTTAATAGCATATAGGTAGGGTTCACACCTATGATGGAATTGTGACTGTTATGCCCTTAGAGCAGGTAAAGGTAAAGAGGAGTAGTAACCTGGATTTGGAAAATGAAGCCGTTTTTTTCCAGGTATTTTGGCACCAAAAAAATGGCGGTATAGGCAATTCAATGCTTTACCTGTATTTTGGTGCCAAACACTTGCCAAAAACTTGGCTTCACTTTAGTCCTTTAGTTTCATAAGCAGAATGGCGCGTTCCTACTCCTTATGTCTGTAGGACAGCGTTTTACCTGCTCTAAGGTTATGCCAGTCTTGTTTTCAGATTTTGTATGCTCGCTTGTGTTGCATTGACGAGAACTAACAAGTTTGAAACCGATATTTAGCTAGGTGTCTGATGAAAGGGGAAGCTCGATTTTCTCTTCATCGTCTTACACATACACTTATTGCATGAAAATACTCTAATTAAATAGAACATATTTCGATAAATTTATGAATGGCAGAATGAGAGGTTCGATGTTCGTGGTAGCCAAACCTACCAGGATCGGAAATCCAATTGAAGAATTTACGAAATAAATATTGGGTTTGAGTGATGTGTAATTAAGGATTAAGGTTGTTATGCACAGGCAGAAATGGAAAAACATGGAAGGGGTCTACATTCAGGAATGGATGAGAGCACGCTGGTGAAAAGAAGATGTGTTAGGGTATTGGGAAAACGTGTTTCTTCCACCAGAAGATACTACCGGATTGAGTCGACTTGTAACTCGATATGCAGGTCTACATTGCGAACATACCAAAAACCACTGGTCATCTAGCGGATGGTCTTGCCTTGGACGCCTGCTATTTCTCCTTTATAGTTTTCTCATTGGCTTGGCAAAAAAATATCGAGCCATGAAGCAAAGATGGGCTGATAATTATAAGCAAGTCATGTTCTTGAGATGAAGTTTACTTTTCTTGTCCATCATGGGATAAAACATGTTCAGTCTGTTGGATCTACTTAATTTATGACTTATGGGAGGTTCCCGTGAAAGTTTGTCGTAAATAATCAGACCTAGATAATTCACTTGATCGCTTCAGTCTTTGATGAAAAATCTCTCCATCTCCATTATTTTTATTAGGGGTGGCTGGCACTTCTCAGCGTTAATAATTTTGTTATTATTCCTACTTTCAATCAATTTTTTTGATAATCGATAATTAAATACAAAATTTGGAAAGCACTCATAATTATTATACCAGGATATCTCTAATTTATATGAAGTACGACACTCATTTTGGCTAAAGCAAATAATAATTTTCGATTTGTTTTATGGCCGTACCCCTATTTGTATTATCCACCTGATGCAATGAAATAGACTATTATAGTTCATTTGAGTTGAGACACTCTATATAATATGCAGGAGATGTGTATGTACGATTGCGATGTTTTGTTTTCAATAGGTCAAATTCTTGTAAAAAATAATGACCGGACAGATCAGTACTTGAAATATATTTTTCTACAACTGTCAATAAAAGATGATGTTTGCACACTAATGAAAATTTGCGAAGTGACACTTTTTTTTCCAGGTATTGTTTTTTAACGTTCCCAATGACGCCGTGCGCGAAATGCTTCTCCAGTGTGCGAAATGCCTAGTTCGCACATGGAGTCAGGTATTCGTTACCTGACAGGAAACCAAAAATAATTAAAATCCAGCTCCCTTTGATTGTAAATGCAATTTTAGCTTCGAATTATAGATATTTGAATGGAAATGTAGAAAAAATATTGTTTGCAACTCGTGCGCGAATTGTTTTTGTTGAACTCGAAACAACTTTCGTTCTCGTTCACCAAAATGGCATTTCGCGCACTAGATACAAAAATAACTATTGTCTGTGAGTATCCAAAATAAAATATTATTACAAATGTACTTATCCAGAAAAAAACGTTTAAACTGTGATAATGAAGTATTGCAAATAAGATGCTCAATTCTAAACTGTCTGATGCTATTCCGCTACGGTTAAAACCAGAACAAGAACCCAACACATGGCTATGGACGGAGAGATAGCCCGACTCGACTCTGGTACCAGAACGAGTACAAGTCGAAATTAAATTTGTACTTACTATCATTCGGTTTAAGTTGGTTTTTAATGGATCGGAAACCATTTTTTATAGTGTCTGTGACATTTTGCTATGAACCATTCAAAATTCCAAAGTTGACGATTGAAGCTTTTGAACCACAAAGATTACGCATATCGATATCAGGTAAAACATATCTGGGTCCATAAGAAAACTATTAGTCTGAATTGAATTATCGATATTAATTTACACAAACACACATCAGTACCTATATCTTGTGAAGAATCTAGTCAAAAAACGTAACCAGCTCAAACTTATCAGCTAAATGTACGATATTTCTCGAGCTATTTCTTCTTTAGGCATACGCTAATATTTTTTTTTTCTGTGTTAACAAATATATAAGTATGTAGTTTTCTTTTTCCTTCGTCAAAGATTATTTGCAATAATGGAGACATGTTTCGAGCTCATGTATCATTCGAAGATGAAATAAAAAATTGGTACCTCAATTTAAAAGAGTTAAATATCACGTGTCCATTTTTGGTTTGTTTTGGCCACCCTGTTTACCTGAAAATAAAATTAGAAAATGTGCTGAAGAATAAATTTGAACATAAATTTAGTAGCAGTTTACTTGCTGCGTTGCTAGCGGCGGAAATAATGGAAAATGAATTAGTGCGGAAAAGTTTGTATGCCTGATCGAGGTAAACGAAATGCTTTATTGTGCCTGCCCGGTGCGCATTTATTCATTCCGTACATGTAGATGGCACCTAGCACAATCCCATTGGTTAGATTTGAAATTTAAACCAATTAAACTTCGAGTGCCATACGCGCGTACGGAATGTAGATTAGTGCCATATGCACTTACGGATTGTAATATAGTTATATGCGTTATGCGCACGCAAAGTCACGTTTTTTTATATTTTGAACTGTAAATACTGTATCTCAAATTAAGTGCTAGTGCTAGTATGGCGTATTGAATTTCCAATTTTTTTACGGAATTGCGAATGTAATAAATAGATAGGGTAGGTATTATTATCACATTAGAAACATGCGGTGTATTAATCTAAGTTTCGGTGATCAAAGAAAATATACATAGAGTATTACAGCGAAAGCGAAAAGCGTCAATATGTTCATTGAATAATAATATATTCAAAGACACAAATTCTTCCACCCATCGTCTAGCGTCATTTGCAGTAATTTGGTTTGCTTTCATTTTCGAGGACTCTGTTCAAAATATTTATAATTTAAAGGTAGCAACGTTATCGCAGCATGCATGGCGATTTCAAACACCCAAATAAACACAAGAGATCTGATTAAAATAATGTCAGCGAAGCAATAACTGTCAATTTCTTGTTCAAAATATTTCTAAGAAAATCGAAAGAGAGGACGCAACGCAGAACTCCATAGAAGTACCTACCTATGTAAGCCCGACAATCACAATAATCACAAAAATAAAACAGGATATTTGGCCGCTGGAGACGTGATTTTGCGTGCGCAAAACGCATATAACTATATTACAATCCGTAAGTGCATATGGCACTGATCTACATTCCGTACGCGCATATGGCACTCGAAGTTTAATTGGTTTAAATTTTAAATCTGACCAATGGGATTGTGCTAGGTGCCATATACATGTACGGAATGAATAAATGCGCCCGGTGCGTGTTCAAAAGTAGGTAGGTACCTACTTTATATGCTCTCAAAATTCGAGTGATTGAGACTAAACTTAGGAGTCGAAAATGGGAAGTTATCAACCCCTATTCAAATTTTTCAAACAAAAAAACCTATCGATGACTTATTTTTAAAAAAGAACATAATATTACAAATTCTCAACCTCTACATTCATTGGAAGCTCCAAGTAATTGTGAATTATTTGTGCCTTCAGTAAAAATTTTGAAAAATGCCTGAAACCACCTATTTAAAATATTATTTCGTCGAATCTTAACATTTTAAAACGTCTACTATAGAAAAACAAATGGTAAATGTTGCAACCATGTATGCGCTGTGAATTCTATGGGAACGAGGGCGCGCCACGGAAAAAGGTACTGAAGGGTAGATAGAAGAAAATGAGAGACTAGAGAACAAGCTTGTCCACCATTGTTCGTTATTCAATTTTTATTTTGTAATAAACTGATTGTTTAATCAAGTTTGTGATTAGTTTGTGTGTCATAAGAAGTATCACAGGTCAGTTGAATAAATGTTATTTTATTTTGAGAGTTCATACAAGTATTATTTTCTCATTTTTATGTTTTCTTTGTTTGATTATAACATTTTTTATAACATGTGAACAACGCAGATAAAAAGTAAATTAAAACCTAGAAAAATTATATACTGTCTTTTGTGCTGGGATTTTAACTTTTGGTATTCAGAGCGTGCATTAGATCGGGTCTATGTTCATATTTCGAAAACAGACATTTCGAATCTTTTATTTCGAATGCTTTTATTTCGAAAACTTTTTTTTCGAATTACCTTTTTTTCGAAATTCAATCATTTCGAAAACATGCATTTCGAAAACTTTCATTTCGAATTACCTTTTCTTCGAAA